TCAGTTCCGCCGTGTTGTTGTTGGATAGTAAAGTATCTCAACCAAGAAGGATATGTGGGTTAGACCAATTAGTTGAATTTTGGACAATTTTTTGGCAGATGTGACTAAAGTCCTATGTGAGCTCGAGCTTACTATAAAGAAAGTTAAGGTATCAACCACTCCGGATGAAAAAATCTTGGATCTCTTCTTCATCACCGACACGAGGTTCTGTTCTGTATTCCTTACAGTCTTAGAAATTAATATCAGCTTCTTTCGGTTATTCTCACTCTATTGCCATAGATTTTTCTGCTACTAATTTTTTGTTTGTACACCTGTAAAGAAATACTTTTCAATCACAGTGTTTTTAAAATGGTTATCTAGTTCTATTTTAAGTCAGTTATCTCGAAATTTTCTTTTTATGGATATTTTACGATCTTTCTCAAACAAATAAATCTAGATTGCAGGAAATCCTTAGCATTAAATCAGAAATGTGTCTTGAAAGGGATGTAGATATATTAGATTTAATTTGTAATACAAGTTCTGAGAATGCCAGAGTATATAGAGGTGATCTCATGAGTAAACATGCCATCCAGAAGATACAGGTACTGAATAAATACAACAATAACAACAATAAGTCTTTTTCCTCGATAAATTTGGGATGGCTAGATGAATCATTTATCATTGCTCCTTTTGGTTTATTGTTAGCTTTATTGGAAGATTCAAAGGAACGAGATCTTTAGAGAAAGCTGGTTATGTTAGTTTTTGTTTATGCCCCTCTCCTTCAATTTGTTTTACTAAGATCGCGTCTCTTTACGAACCACCTACCTAAGTAGTCATTCTCATTCTCTTGATTTACTTTCAATTGGTGCTACGGGCATATATTCTCCTTTCTTGTCTTATCAATTTTAGCATGCCGACACATCTACAATTTTCATCACCATCTTCCGTTCAATGACTTGGTATTCTTCACAATTTTCCATCAGGGGACTTTTACACACTGAGAAGAGACAGGAGGACACGCATGACCATTTAAAATTTGTTCTCGGGGATGCTATGATCTCTAGTGAAATAGAAATGGTGGGCCCTGAAACTACTGCATGTTTACAAGCTGCATCATTTCTTCCTGATGAAATTACCGAAGAGATGTTTAACATGGACAAGGCCGATGAATGCAAAATTGGATCTGCGGCTTTCAGGAGTCCATCCATCATTATGGATAACTCGTTGAGTCCTGCTCACACACTTGTCCAAATTGTTTGTCAGGATCACAAAGGCCTCTTATACGATATAATGCGAACTTTGAAGGATTATAACATCCAGGTGCGTAACTTTCAGTTTGTTGATGTATAATATGTTACCTTCTAATTGATGTGATAAAAGCAAGCATGCTGAAATTTTCCACTATTTGGATTGAATGAATGGGTAGTGTCATTATCCTTTTTCTGAGATTATTTTGATATAATTTGAATAGAACCCTGTGATACAATCAGCTCCGTTTGGTCCATTCTCCTATTCTTCTGTGCCATTAACAACAACAAAGTCAGCAACTTTCTAGTGCAGAATTCACGTGTCATCGTAATCATATGATGCGATACCAGCATGCTTGATTTGCAAGAAGTTATCTTCTCGTTCAATTTTTGTTGTTTTTCACAACCTGCATTACTTATTCATTAATAGTGTTTATTATAGATGCAAGTCACACAAATTTCTAATTGTAGAATGTTATGAATTTAACCAGATTTCTTATGGGCGATTGACAACGAAAGATAAAACAGAATGTGAGCTGGACTTATTTATCATGCAAGTGGATGGTAAGAAAATAGTTGACTCAAGCAAACAGAATGCATTGTGCTCTCGTCTTCGAATGGAACTAAGTCGTCCTCTTAGAGTAGCAGTAATCAGTCGTGGCCCTGATACTGAATTGCTAGTTGCAAACCCCGTGGAGTTATCTGGAAAGGGACGTCCTTTGGTTTTCTATGATATTACTCTTGCTCTGAAGATGCTCAACAGTGTCATATTTTCGGTAATTTCCTTTAAGCATGCTATACTAGTTCTAGTTCAATACGTTCACAAATATGCACTGTTCCC